TGAAATTAATTTGAAAATTCAAAAAATTTTAAATTTGAAAATGTAATTTTAACAATCAAGTTTCTTTAATTAAAATCCGAAAAAAATATTTACAAAATAAGTTGAAACTCAATGAAAAAAAACAGAAATTTGAGTGTTAAACTTACATGACAATATGTTAACAAACCGAATTTGGCACCACTAATGATCAAAGACATAAGTCAAACATGATACCACGTTCGAAATGTTTTAACAATTATGTAATTTTAAAACTCATATTTCTTTAATTAAAATCCGAAAATCTAAAATATTAGGTTTTATCAAACTTATTTGACAATTCAAAAACATTTTAAATTTGAAAATGTAATTTTAACAATCAAGTTTCTTTAACTAAAATCCGAAAAAAAATAATTTACAAAATAAGTTGAAACTCAATGAAAAAAAAACAGAAATTTGAGTGCTAAACTTACATGACATTGTGTTAGCAAACCGAATTTGGCACCGCTAATGATCAAAGACTTCAAAGACAGAATTCCACGTTCGAAATGTTTTAACAATTATGTAATTTTAAAACTCATATCTCTTTAATTAAAATCCAAAAATCTAAATATTAGGTTTTATCAAATTAATTTGAAAATTCAAAAACATTTTAAATTTGAAAATGTAATTTTAACAATCAAGTTTCTTTAGTTAAAATCCGAAATAAAAAGTTGAAACTCAATGAAAAAAAAAAACAGAAATTTGAGTGCTAAACTTACATGACATTGTGTTAACAAACCGAATTTGGCACCGCTAATGATCAAACACATAACAAGTCAAAAACAGGATTCCACGTTCGAAATGTTTTAACAATTACGTAATTTTAAAACTCATATTTCTTTAATTAAAATCCGAAAAAATGAAAATATTAGGTTTTATCAAATTAATTTGAAAATTCAAAAACATTTTAAATTTGAAAATCACCTTGCCATAAAAATGAGAGCGTGAAAAAAGTGGAATTGAGTGAAACGGGTAATGGAAGGCAAAAAAAATTAAGCATGCTTTTCTAATACTTTTGACTGCTACATATTTATAATTCGATAAGTATTCATGCAAAACTATTGATTCAAACTTACTATGTCAAGTTACACATGTTATAATCCGATAACACAATCAAGCATATATTATTTTACGGTTTCTACTGGAAGCTTTGTTTTTAATGCATTCAACACAATCAAGCATATAAGATTATATGTTATTAATTTATTCATTATCCGTAAAATTTATGTATTGATGAAGTATGAAGTGTTAATGCTAATTGTTTTTAGTGGTTAGATATATAAAGAAAACAAATTTGGTATGAGAGAATGTATGAACTTACCCGAATAATTTGTTGGACTATGATATTTCTGTAGACTTCCATCTCCATGTCTCTGTATTTGCTACCAATCATAATCAAATTATTCACCTATCATAAACAAATTTCAGAACATTAAACAAACAAACATTATGTAACATGACAAATAATTTCCACAATTCCAATTATATGACATCGCTAAACTAAACCACACATGATCCATCTTCTCGGGTTTTTTTTTAATGCGATTACAGATTTTTCATTAGGAAGCATAAAATCAGACAAATATAAACAATGAATTAAAAGAAACAAAATCAACCGACAAAAAAAAAGGAATGATTTTTCAAGTTACCTTACCTTATCGGCAAATTCTGAGTCTTGTTTCTTCTTCTTCTTCTCATGGACAGAGAATTGTCGTCGTTTTCGATCACACAAGTCAATTTTCCTCTGCTCGCCAATCCCAACAACCGACGAAGCTTCTCCCAGTTGCTTGTGCTGTTTCAGGACTCCGATTTTCTGTTCAATCTTTTGATTCTGATGATTCGAATCAAAATTTGAGTAAACGATTTTCTGATTTTCTTATAAAACAGAGATAGACGATTCGAAACAGAGAGATAGACGAAAACAGAGAGTCATCAGAATAAAAGAAAACAGAGAGATAGACGAAAACAGAGAGATTAAGCGAAACAAAAGTTGTG